GACTTCTTCAGCTGTTACAGGGCTCTGCAAGGTTGGGAATTCCCCCCCTGCAGGTTTCTACATCTCTCGGGAAAGGACGCAGGTACCATCCCAGCTTGTTGGCTGGGCTCAGCTTTGCTATCGCTGTTGGTTAAGAAGGTTCACCTCATCAAAAGGCGTGTGCGCTGCCGCCCTTGAGCTTCTCAAGCTGGCTGAAAGGGATCATCTATACACTCTGATCTGAAGGATGGGAGGCAAACGGGCTCTCCCGACTCCCTCTCCATGGGGTTAAGGAGCAACCCTCTCACAATTTCCATGACTTCACAAGGACTGCTGGGTGGGAGCGTGTCCACTTTTTCTGATTGGTAACATAACCTCAAAATTCACGAACCCAGTCTGCTCTGCTATGTCGTGTGGTTCCCACCATCTTCTGAAAGGAAAAGATTTCCATTCCAGTGTTTAAACACTCCCATGTGAGCTCCTCTGCTGTGAAGCCATTTCTGTGCCTGTTTGGCATTAGAGAAGTTCTCTTGTGTTGGAGTACTAGTGCTTGACACTCTTCTGGATTTGTTGTATGAATTGTACTACACGCCAAAGACATCATACATGTGATGTACATCTTTGTGAATTCCTTTAACCTTCTGAATATTGAACAGTACAGCTCCAATGGCTGTTCATTTGACTATAAAACAAAGAGGTTTTAATATTTAGCAGATTATTCAAGCCTCTCACCAGCTGTGACATGAAAATGGTCCTGTTGTAAATTAGGATCTACGCTGGCAAAGATCTTTATTAGCTGGGACACAACAGTCTTAGCAGTAGTAGAGAACAGTGTGGTGTACTATGAATACCATGTGGCTTAATATTCCTTTACTGGAGTAATCTCTCTACACAATGTACTGTTCCTCAAGGGTGTGACCAGGACTGGCCCCACTGATTCCAAGGGGCAGTCCTGCAGAGGGAAAGACAGTACAGAAACTTTCCAAATCTTGATAGATCCGCTCTGCACACGAGGTACAAAAGTTGTTGGACTCTCCTGTAGATACCGGGATCAGGAACAGTGGCTCTCTCCTGATACAAATTCCTCATAGCTTGCCATGATTTTCTGACCAAGACTGGCCAAGAGTAGCTTCTAGGCCTTCTGAGGATGTTTTGGTGACAAGTTTGGTCTCTCACATGACACTGTGCCCACCTAGCCTTTTGCTGAAGATGGGTCAGTTATCACACGGTTTTCTGTAGGCACTTGGTGGCAACCTCAGCAGCCAAGTAACTTCTTATTAGCCTCCCAGGAGCAGTGAAGTTCTCTGCTCAGTGCTTAGACATGCAGTCACTCTGGCTGCAGGTCCACGACCCAACTGCCCCAGCAGTGCCTTGCTGCACTTGGTGGAATGCTGGCTCGTGGTGACAGTCGAGCCATTCAAAATGCCCACACTAACCTGGGCACCCTCGGCCCTGGAATGCAGCACACGTTGGCTCGCTTAAATGCAGAATGAACAAGATGGGGTTTTGTTCAGGATGCCTTTTTTGCTTGCCAAGCAACTTTCTTGAACATAGCCAAGAGAGCCGATCCTCTTTGACCCATCTCTGTCAACCTTACTGGCAACAGGGAGAAGGCAGAATGGGACTTGCAGCCTTAGCAGTGAAGGGAAATCAGAAAGTCCTAACGGGGATGCTGATGCTACTGCTCTTGGTGTGCTGCTGGTCCTGAATCAGTGATTGTTATTCTCCTTGTCACTTCCCTTAACCCTTCACGTAAATTCATGCTGCCACCACATAGTCAATCGATCTTGTCAAGGGTTGAAAGGATCATCACTTTCGTTCACTAAGACTCTTGGGCCTTCTCTTCCATAGGACCCAGACGGTGCGCCACATTTTCCCTCAAATGTGGTCCTGCTGTTTCTGGACTAGTCTCTAGACCTTCATGAGGTGCTAACCAGACTAGGCTCTTCTCTTCTAACTTCTTTTTCCTAGCCAGGTGCTTGTGGACGCAAGGATAAGGCTGGCTGAGCATGCAGTAGACTGGTAGCCTTTCCTAGCTGCTGTAGGGTTTTATATACACGTAGAGGGAAAACATGACACAAAAGTCACCAAAACCGGTTCTCAAGGACAAAGGGATGTTGGATAATATTTTTAAAATTCTTCAGTTGGCTGTGGCTCGTTAACTGTCACAGACATTCAGCCCTCTTATTCAAGTATTTCTGTTATTGGAGTTTATGGATGACCATGAAGCCCTGGAGGCATCTGGAAGCCAGTGCATGGTCCCATGAGCTCCTCTGGACTTCAAGCTGGAGATATGTCATTACCTCCCTTCCAGAACAGTGCAGATACCAAAACAGGGTGTGATGTGTAGGGTTGTTATCAGGCACATGAAGTCCAGCTGGAGGCCAGTTACCAGTGCTGAGCCTCAAGGCTTGACACCGGAGCCAGTACTGTTCATCTTCTTCAGTCACGGCCTAGATGATAGGACAGCATGCACCCTCGACAAGGGCGCAGACAAAGCAAGACTGGGACGAGTGGTTGGTACACCACGTGGTTGTGCTGCCACTCAGAGGGACCTTGAAGTGGTGGAGAAACGGGCAGATAGGGACCTCATCAAGTTCAACACGGGGTGCAAAGCCCTGCTCCTGGGAAGGTCCCTGTGCACCCCCTGCTTTCTGGGAGCTGACTGGCTGGAAGGCAGCTTGGCAGAAAAAGACGTTGGAGCCCTGCAGAGAAGCTGAACGTGAGCCAGCAGTGTGCCCTTCCAGCAAAGACAGTCAACAGCATCCTGGGCTGTGCTGGGAAGAGCGTGGGCAGCAGGCTGAGGGAGGTGATCCTTCCCCCTCAGCTCAGCACCGGGGAGGCTGGGGCGCCGGGTCCAGTTCTGGACAAGCCGGTACAAGAAAGATTTGGAGCGTGACTGGAGCAAGTCCAAGGCAGAGCTAAAACGATGAGGGAGGAACCAGCGTATCTGACACATAAGGAGAGGCTGAAGGACCTGGGACTACTTAGCTTCAAGAGGAGGATACAAAGCCTAGTGGAAGAGAGCAAAGAACCTTCCTCTGCGGTATTCAGTGAATGGAAATACAGGCACAAATGGAAAATAGGAAATTCTGTTTAAAAATAAAGAAAAAGCTTTCTTAGGGTGTGGGCACTGAAGCACTCGAATCAGTTTCCCAGAGAGGTTGTGGAGTCTCCATCTTCGGAGACGATGTTCAGATCCTGATGGGACAAGTTCCTGAGCAGCCGGCTCTAGCTGACACTGCTTTGAGCATGGGGGGCAGACTGGACGATCCCCAGAGCTGCCCCCCCCCGCCTCTGCTGTTGCGTGATTTCTGTGACTGTGTTTCTCAGCCGTGGTGAGCGTTGTATCCTGGCACTGCCAGCTTTTGCAGGCAGCGCCTTTAGAGTTAAGATGAGAGCAGTTCAAGCTGATTCAGTCTATGCAGATGTGGGGACGTAAAGTTTTGATTCTCAGAGATCAGTGATGCGTCCTCTGGTTGGTCAAAATCTGCCTTCTTGAGTTTCAAATCCTTGTTGGCTCATTCACCACTGATTCCAACAGAACGGGACTGGGCAGTGAAACAATGTGTTGACATTGTTTTAGCAGTCAGATTTGGTTCTCTTATCCTCCTACTAACACAGTATTCCAGGGAAAGAAGCGAGGTAAAATTGGGCATATCCTTCCTTTGATCTCATATTTACCCTTTCTCTTTAGCCATAACCAAGACGAACATCGTGGCACAGGAAAAACAAGCTAATATAACGCTGCACTTCCACGCGGATGATCACTCCTAGCAATGATGCTGGGTAAGAGAATGACATACAGCACACCATTCCACTTACACAGTTAGAAGTTGGAGGACAGGGATGGTCGTATCTTGGTTGTTTTCCTTCCTCCAGGAAATTCCTTGACGATCGCTGCCACCTCCTGCAATCTGGTCCCTTCGCTAAGCCAAGGAATTTCTGCAAGGTGCCTTAGCAAACCCAGGGATAAATCTTCACTGGCAGCACCAACTAAAGATGAACTGGGCTCCAACAGGAGATGCGCACTTACCACCATCCTCTTTTTAAATTGATGACAGAACCTTAATAAAAGGCCATCCAGGAGTCACCAAAAGCCAATTTCAGCACATGTAGCACTGAAGTGTTTTCAGCAATAGAAGTTACCCAGAAATATATATTTCCTCACAAAAAACAAGTCACCGGAATTTCCAATTCATATATCCAATACCCAATCCCGGTATCTGATAAACAACATGTAAAAAAACCCCTAGCAATGGGAAACACAGGATTAATCTTCATTAAAGCTTTGTGTATAAAGAAAACCGTATTTGAAAATGCTGAAAATTTGTTCTGCTAGAGAGAAGATATTGAACATCTGGCTATTTCTGAGAAAAGCAAAAGGGCTCCCTCTGGAGTGGATTCCAAAATTAACACAGGATTCAGATTTTAATAGGCAGGCAGAGAAAATGAAAATCAGTAACAAAGCAAATGCGTTCTTGTCTCTTGTTAGTTTACTCATCCTGTTTACAATGAGCATACTGGGACTAATTCAAGGAGACTATATCATGACTGAATGATATGGATCTGTGCCCAGAATATTAAGTCATTAATTAGTTTTCATGCATGGACCTGTATGTGGCAAGGAGGCAAATTAAAGGATTCCTGAAGAGACAAGAAAGCTTTCTTAACATGTCAAATACTCCAAAGAATCTCCAACAAAACAAATTATGAAGCCAGCTGAGAATCCACATTTTCAACCCTGGATGGACATGCACAGTTCTATAAAAAACTAATGAATACAGCCACTGGTTGTGTACCCATGGCAATAAATTAATTTGAAAGGGAGAGAGGAATAACTTTAAGGACATATACAAAAACATGCTCTACTGGAAACTGATGAAGGCTGCTTTCAAATTTCTGAGTGAGAAAGACCCCACATTCCCATGGTTTATTTGCATACAAGCCAATTAACAGAAAATTGTTTTCATGCAGAAAGAAAAAAGAGTTAGATCACCTACAAAGTGAAGTCAACTTACTGCCTGTTTTTGCTCTTCTTCCTATAAACGTTGGCAAAAGAAAAAGGTGAAGAGAGAAACAGGGTAGATTAATTATCATATGAAAAGAAAACATACACACACACAAAATACACACCAGACCCAATGGAAGAACAGAACATGACAAATTGTAGAAACATCTGCAGACACGAAAGGAAACAAGGACGTTAGACACAACAGCTGTGATGGGAAAGCAAAGGTGCCATTTGTTCCATTCTCAAAAGAAAACTCTCGTCTAAAATGGCCTTCAGAGTTGGCGAAAGCCGAACACATGGGATGGAAATGACAATCTGGGTATTTCGGATATGGCGTAGGATATCTGATGAGTATCTTCCCTCTTACACAGAACCTTTAGTGGCTTCTCTTCTCAATCCAGACTCAGAAATGCCTCTCTGGGTGTCCTCAAGGTAAGAAAGATCAGGCTACCCGTGCCCAAAGTTTGGAAATGCCATCTGGAGCGTGCAACTGCTGCACAACAGCCTGTCCCCTGCACGCACAGACCCGCACCACAGAGACCCAAACTGCCATGACCCGAGAGGCAAAATATCACCTTTTGGGTCAGAGGGTGCCCGTTATCACTGGGCATGCAGGGACCTCTGCAGATCAGATCCAAAAAGGCAAATTAATGAGTGGCCAGCAACTGGGTCTGGAGTGGGAGAGCAGAAAATGGGAGGCAAAAGCACCGAAGATGTGGAGTAAGGACAAAGGTGCAGAGAAGATAATTCCTTTGTTGCAATGCAACATTTGTCAGTACAGATCACTATTAATCCGAACGAACAAAAAAAGGTGAAACAGGGATGAATTTATCCTTTTTTTTGAAGCAGAAAAACACACACAGTGATCCTGCTGTGTCGGCGGGCTCACGTTCTGACTTCAACTGAACGGATGTTCCTGGGAATGAGCAATATATCACCAAGTCTGGAGTTTCTTTCATAACTCAAAAGTTTTCATAGATTTTGTCCTCGCATATATAACAACCATGTTGAGCCCTGTGGGCTCATGTCTCACGGGCTCGGTTGTGTGGAGGAGCACAGCAGTTGTGGTGCGGGCAGCAACACTGTGCTTTAAAAGAAAGGCTGGCAGCGTGTTCTCGATGACTCTCATCCACACAGAAATAGCAATTACAGTTTTTTCAGGGTACCAGTGTGTGCTCCCTCCAGCAGTGGCTTTGCACAGACTGCCGGTGCAGAGGGCAGCAGGACCACTGGCAAGCACATCACCCCAGAAATTCAGGTCATGGAATTAAAACTCATGGAATAAAAGCTCCTTCTGGCCTTGAAATCCACAGACCCATTTATCCACCTTCCCTCATTTATCTCCCATCTGAGCTGGATTAACCAGAACCTGTCCCTTAATTTAGAGCAGCTCCTTCTCACCGACCCCTGTACTCGGAGACGGTTTCCTGACTGCACTGAGGGCACTACAGAGATATCTGGGAACGACTGCAGAGAATTCCACATTTCCGAGCAGATACTTTTGTTTTTTTCCCCCAAGGCTGGGGGTTCTTTCAGGTGTGTGTTTAGACGCTGATGTGGCAGATGTAGGGTATGGCTCCACTCAACCACGGATCAACATCTGCAGCGGAGGCCAGTGCTGCCCGTCCCACCCCCACCCCCCCCCCATATTTCCAGTTGTTCCTCCTACCAGCACTGGGACTCGCAGGACCAGATGGTGAGCCAGGCCAGGGAAAAGATCTTAAATGATCTCCACTCTACAAAAGAGTTGTTAGTTTGAAAAATGAGGCTTTAGCATTAACTACAGATGTGAAAAAATAATCTCAAGAGGCATGGAGCTTTGCTAGAAGGACTGAGCAGTTATTAGATAAATCATCAAATCAGCTAGTGAGGAAATTACTATTGAGGAAATGGAAAAAGTGAAATGGGATATGTCTGCTGGATATCCGCGCAGCTGAAAGCAAAAGCCCTGCAAGAAGGCAGACAATCATCACTGCGGACTACTTAGGAGCGGAGTGCCAGCTAATGGCACGGGGTGATTACAGGAGACTTCAGGAAAAGGGGAAAGTTAAGCCGACGGCCTGGATGAGGAGAAGAAGGTAAAAAATGGAGGAAAGTTGCTGACGACAGCACTGACAGGTCACTGGCCACTGTTCAGCCCCGGCGGCCAGGCTGCCTCTCGCCTGCAAGGGGCCTGATCCGCCCAACTCGAGACTGGTTGGAGCGGCCGGGGAGGCGTGGGGTTAGTAGCCACGGGGGGCCCTGTGGTGGCCACTGCAGCAGCCCTGCGGGCTCGGGGGCTGCGGTACTAAATGACACTGTGCAAGAGTTCTCCAGCATGACCTGCGCACAGCCGCGTTGTTAAGATCCCTTATCGCCCCGACGGGGCGGGCGGCCGTATCCAGCCGCGCGCTGGGGAACAGGCCCGGGGAACCCCGAAAACCTCTGGGTACGGTTGGAGGCGGCGTGGGTTCGGGAAGGCGCCGGTAGCTCTGCCCCGAGGGCACGTCGGCGACCTGGGTGCCCGTCCAAGGAGCGGCGGGGTCCCCCGGGGGGCAGGGGACAGCGCGGCGGACGACACCGGCGCTTGGCGAAGGGCTGAACGGGGGGGGGGGGGGGGGGGGGGGAACCTCCCCTCCGGGGAAAAGCACCAGCAAATTCCTGAAACTGAACCCTCCGAACAGGAGCACCCCCACGCCTCGGCCGCGAGATGTGGAAGGACACTCGGTGCAACACCCAACCCGGGCCCTAAATCGCAACGGCGTGGGCAGGTCACCGCGCGGGCTAATAAGCATCAGGGCGGGAGGCTGATTTTTGAGGTTTTGATTACCCCGAAATAGCCGAGGGCCTTCCTCTGGCTCTGCGGCCAACTCTCACAGCACGGCTCGACGTGGGGAGAATGGATAAACCTCCAGAGAACAACTGCGTCCTTCCAACTACAGGCCTTCCTCTCTCTCCTTCTTCTACAGAGGGAGCTGAGGTACCAAACTTACAGATAACCAAATTAGGTAAGCTGAATCCAGCTCCAAATAGTGAAACGAAGGCAGCATTAAAAATGTACAAAATGCTGCATCAGAAAATGGAAAAAAGCATAAAAGCCTAACAGTTGATGTAAATTATAAATGGAAATTTTTGAAGTGCACCAAACGACGAGAGAAGCTAAAACCTTGTGGGAAAAATGTGTGTCCGGCAGGGCTAAAACCACCAAAAAGGAGACTGAAATGAACACAAATATCAGAAACAAAACAAAGCCTTGAGGTGGTGTATAAATGGTAAAATTCTTAATATGGGAAGAGGAATTAGTGTTTCTGTTCTGTGTTTGACTAAGAGTACTTTCCCCTTGTAGTTTCTATCAGAAGAGAGTGAAGTGCTTTCCATTAATAATGAGAAAAGGTGTTAAAAAGTATCTACGAGAAATAATGCTTTTAGATCAGCAGGCCTGGGTATTTTGCAGCTGGGATTCTTAAAATAATTACATGAGGAGTTATCTGGTCCAGTGAAGGTAATTTTTAACAGACCTTGGAATACCCAGGACTGGAATGTGCTGTGCTGCACTGATACTCAAAAGTGGAGGTAAGACAACTTAAATAACCATAAACATCTTGCCCTATCATTAATTTATTCAAAGTAACGGAAATGTTGATAAAAGACTCACCTAATAAGTAATTTACAAATCATTGTAACTTCATGGAAAAGAGGTCTTGCCAAAGAAATCTGATTTTGTTATTTGAATGTATTACAAATTGGCTTCTAAAGGAACTGCACAGATGTAATATATTTTCACATGAGAGGATTTACCCACGGCATTCTCATTAATCAGTTAGCACTATATGAAATAAATAAAGCGCTTTGCACCAAGTAAGATCTGGATAACTGACAGCTTTCAAAAAGTACTCACTGGTGCAGAAAGGCACAAAAAGGAAAATAGTGATGAAGAGTAATGAAACTTCTCCTGTAATTCTCTGCCTAGTGTTGCTACGGTTCAGAGAGGAATTCAACATGTAGATTGTTTTTTCCCAATTTAAGAAATTATACTAGAAATCTGGAGAAGGAAAAGAAATCAACCATAAAAAATTCTGAAGTACAGTATCGTGAGAAGCTCAGAAAAGCTTTTTAACTGATTTAAAAAGAAGATTGAGAGGTGCCTTCGCTGAGATGAGTAAGTATCTGCGTAGGAAAAAACCAGGGGTGCTAAAGTACTCCTTAATTTAATGGAGGGAGAACCACATGTACCAAAGCCAATGGGTGTAAACTGAAGCTAAATACATTAAAACTGAAAACGAGGCATAAATTTTTAACTGTGCAAGCAAATTTGCATTGGCAGTGAATTTTCCATTTTTTGATCTCTTCAGCTCAAGAGCAGATGTCTTTCTGGAAGATGCTTTAATCAAAGAGAAGCTGCCAGGCTCCATTGAGAGCTCTTTAGGGGAAATGCGAAGGGCCGTATTATGCAACATGTAGAACCAAATAGCGGCGGCAGTCACCAGCTCACAGGATGATTCGCGTTGGAAGGGACGCAGGAGGTGTCTGGTCCAGCCTCCTGCCCAGAACAGGGTCAATTTAACCTCAGACCAGGTTGCTGAGAGCTCTGTGCAGTCGGGTCTTGAAAACCTCCGAGGATGGAGACAGCCCAACCAGCCCCCCTGGGCCCCGCTCCACTGCTTGAGCGTCCTCGCGGGGAAGAAGGCTCTCCTCCTCTCCGGTCCTATTTGCCCTTACAGTTTTTAAACAACTTTGGGGATTAGGCGAGTGAATTGGAAGGTACTAGATTTATAAACGAAAAGCCTAGCAAGAGCCAGCCTCTAAACTAACCTTCCGTGGAACACAGCCTAGGTGTCATTACAGTTTCTGCCAGGCTCATAACCGAACTGCACGATTCAACCTAACGAATGGGTCCTAAAAGCATCGGCTGGCCAAGTGTGAGCCAGCTGTGGCTCCCTTCCCCCTGCCGCGCCCCTCTGTGCTCCGGCCGGGGGTCCCCCCCCATCGCCGTGCTCCTGGCACCCCCCGCGCCCAGCCGCCCGGGAGTGCTGCCTCCCGGCCCCCGGCTGCTCCGCAGCCCGCGCCTCCTCCGGGTCCAGCGCGGGGCTCCCGGGGGGCAAACGGCCCAGCTGGGCTCCGGGGCTTTCGAGGAGGAAGGGCGGAGAGGCAGGCAAGGCGGCACAACAGCCGCTCGCCCGCGGGGGGGGATGGCCTCGGTGACTTGTGCGGGGGGGGCTGACGAGGGCTCTGAGAATGACGGGCTCTACAGAAGCCCCGCACCAGAGCCCGTCGTCACGCCAAAGCAGACGCCCAAACTGATTTTGTTGTAAAGAGGCTCCTCTTGATAACGTGTGCGAGAAAAACGCTCAGGCCGTGGTTACCCGAACCACATGGAATCGAACGGCTCCCGATGCAGCGACTTTTCGTACTTTCCTAAATCTGTAATCCAGTTTTGGGTGCCCGTTTTCAGCGATATCACACTTCAACTTACAAAGGTTTAGGATCTGAAGAAATCAAGGCCAATTTAGCAAGTTATTGTCTTCAATATTTTTAGCGGACAGACATTAACAGGCGGAACATTGAAAAAATACAGCGTGCAGAACCACTGACTTAAAAAAAAAAAAAATTACCTCCCAAATACTAATACTAACCATGTGCTCATATGCACAGGGCGCTAAATAAAACAGGCACCTCTGAAGAGCATTTGATCACAGGCTCCCATATATACCTTGCCATTCCAGAACACAAGCCCAATCTGAGGAGCGACTGCACGCTAGATTTACAGACGATGTGAGTTCATTATCACTATCAAGCGCAGACAAGCTCTGTATTTTTCTGCAACTGTCAAGACGTGCCCACAGCTAATCTATGAACCCTGCGCCGCTCCTGCCAGTGCCACCGCTGCGATCTCGCTCCCTGCCTCCAGTATCTTGTCTGAGACCAAAACCTCTCTGAGTAAGGACAAGGTTTGGCCATTCACTTGACAGAGAGGCTCTTGTCCAATTTAAAGAGTGGAAAGAATAGACACATAATAGTATTTCAGACTATAGTCATCAACTATGAGCTCAACTCTAGCAGGACTCTAGAAAAAATATAATTTAAAATTATATATATGTATCATAAAAATATTATAAAACATAATAACGGACCCTCATCAGAAATCTGAGCGAGCACCCGCGCCCCAGACCAGAGCCGACACCACCACGCCCCACGGCGCAGGGGCGCGCCCGCTCCCGCCGTAACTGCAGTTTCCAGTTTATTTTCCAGTTAAAGTTGGAAGAACTGAACTGGTACCCAGAACAGCATGCAGTTGATTACCAAGTCTAATACTTCTTTAAACCTTCCAAATCTTACAGGCTCTTGGTATTTTAACCAAAGCAGCAGCATTTGAACCCGAAAACCCATTAACCATCTGCACCAATACACAGAGCCAGTATGGAAATGGCTTTTTGCAAACTCCTTCTGTTCCTCATGAAGTATTTATAATGGCAGGACAGCAAAGCAGGAATGTCAGAGCAGCAATAGTGAATTCCAGACCTGGGGAAGAGAAGGCTGCACTGCATTTCTGACAGGAGATGCCTTACTTTGAGCAGTTTCATCAGCCCTTCAAGCTGCACCATCAGTTCTCTTCTGCTTTCTTGAAGTGCAGACATCCTCTGTTCCAATTCATCCTTTCTCTGTCTGTTGAAGTCACATGAAAGAAAGAGACAGAAAATAAACTTTGGGTGTTTCAAAACTGCTTCAGGAAACTCACCCATATAACCGTGTTTCGGTTTTCAGCACTCCCTCCCACTTCCAATTTAAAAAAATAGAGCAAAGCACAGTACAATGACCATGAACCTATATAAAACAATCAGGTTTTTCACTTAAAATCCAGAAATCTGCACTCAGCACCTTGGTAGTAGGAAGCCCTTTTCAAGAGCACTGCATTTTGAGAAGAAAAGCCTGCTTTTTTCTTCCTTTTAAGAACTCTCTTAACTTCAGATCCAGGCATCCCGCAGAGTTTTCAGACAAGTAAGAATGAAATATGGGAGGAAAGACAGAGAAAAAAAAAAAAAGAGGAGAAAAGGCTGCAGATGTTTGGAAAGGAAAAGCTATCACCTGTCTGAATGGAGGCTCGGCAGAGCTATTTCTGACCTGCAGCGTGACGTATAATCTTTGACATATTTGCTGTACCAGAACCCAGGTAACAAGCAAAGGAGATGATAAGTCACCTTCCCTTTCCTTGGCATCAGAAACCCTCTATTTCTACAGATGCCTGACTGAAGGAAATATGACTGCTTGGTTTTATTTTACATTTAAAAAAATAAAGAAGTGACTAATATAAGGAGAAAATCAAAGACAAATGTCAACACATCAGAAGTTTAGTAACTTATATGATTTAAGAAATGCTGGGGCCCACAAACCCCTATCATTTGATAAATGATAAATAACTGTAAGGAATAAGCAAATTAGAAAGGCTTGTTTGTTCATCTACAGTTATTTTTGTGGACATCATAATGTCTTAATCCAAAGTTAAAGGCATCACATATTATAGACTGAATTTTTAAATGTCTTGGATCATATCTGTGTTCTCACGTGATATACTACGGAAAAATCCCTCTGGGAATTTTAATAACAAACTACTTTTAGAAACAGCAATTGCACATCAGATTCTGGAAAAGAAACAGGCCATTTCCTCAGAGTGAACAGAGTACGGCTTGCTTTCGCTATGGCGACGTGAAAATGGCATTACTGTAAGCATATGCCCCAAGCAGAAAACTGCTAAGACTATGTAGCAGAATTAACTTGTTTCTACACTGGTTCTTAAAAGGACAGAAGGCTGTGAAGGGGTAACTCCCCTGGGTATTTCTTTCAGCACCTTTCTGTATTTTGAAGGATGTGGTTATTAAATGCCCAAATGTGCCTACAAAAATAAGGCAATAAAGAGAAGATTCCACATGTCTGGTCACCTAGACTGTGTTAAAAACCCACCACAGACACAGCTTCATCTGTCTAGAGGGTCCTTTTACTCTTCTAGGTAAGTTTAAAGTCTGTAGCTTTTATTCTATGGTTATTTAATATAACACTCTGATATATAACTATATCTCTGATAATATAACTATACAAACATTCTGATAATATAACTATACAAATAACGTGAAAATCAACATATTAGACAAGCATAGCTCTCCCAGTGTAGCTGTTACTGAAGAATCAACATCAACGTGCACGTCTGATTTCAGCTGACGGTACTGCACTTCTTCTTCAGTGACCCCCCGTGCAGGAAGGGGAGGTACCGCCTCTCAACGACAAAGGGTGTTCGCTGTTTTTCAAAAATCAAGACGGGGCGGGCGCGGGGGGGCGAACGGGGAGAGGCAGCTGGAGGCAGTGGCCCGGGGCACAGGGTTCCCTGGCGTGTGAAGGAGCATCCCAAGCAGCAGCCGCCACGATGCCCCCTCCAAGGTCACCCTGGCCAGCCCCGGGGGGGGGGGCAGCTGGCTCACCTCCGCCCCCCGGGCTGTCTGCAGGGCTCTGAACCTGGGGCACGCTGATTTCCCGCTGATTAGCTTTCTCCTGCCTTCACGGCCTAACTTCCACACAGCGCCGGAGATCATTCGGCAGCGCCTGCTTACGTGCAATCGAAGGCAAGGTCATCACATGCTGCTCACAGGCTCGGGGACCGTCTCCTCGTTAGCCGTGACTCTGTGCAGGACTTCCACGTCACAGACTACCTGCTCATCGTGAGCCGCCAGCGTGGCGCCATGCAAAGCAAGAAAATTAACGTGCACTTGGAATTTATTAACGAGAGTGGCGCTTGGTGGGAAGGAAGCTGCCAGCAGCTCTGTCTGTAGCTGCGCGGAGGCTGCGGATGGGCTGGCGCAGGCGCCCAGCCTGTAGCGCAGAGGGCCGGGAGGGAACCTGCCGGCAAGCGGAGGGGACAGCTGGCGATTCGGCAAACCCGCTTTATGGAGGAACTGAAAAAGAAGTTCAAGCTGTTTATGCAGGATGAGGTTGAGAGGGGAGGGAGCCAAAACCTCTAAGCGCTCGCGCACAAAGAGGCATTTTGAAAAGGACCTTTTCAGCCCAGCGGACAAAAGCAGGGGGAAGGACAAGGTTTGGGAAACGGCGCGAGGCCGAGGCAGGGCGGAAATAACGCGCAGACCTTCCGTCCGGCGAGCGCAGGCAAGGCCCCGGGGTTCCCTGAGGGTCAGGTTTGCGGTGCCAGGGGACACGGTGCTTCCAGCTCTGAAACGGGACCGCGGGGGTCTCTGACGCGGCTGCTGGAGCCAGGCCAGAGGGTTCTGCAGGAGCGCGGCAGGGAGACGCTCCCCGGCCCGGCACACACCGAAGGCCCCGCCGGACAACCATCACAACTTGACAGGCTTTACATGCTTAATTCAACCTTTTTTTTTTTTTTTTTTTTTTTTTTTCTCCTTTATAACTCTTCTATTTGCCAGTGGTGTTCACATATTTGAAGGCCAGAAATGGCGACAACGATCATTCAGCTTTTTTTCCTTAGCAAAATACAGGCCATCTAAATCCTCCTGGTTAGCTCTGTTTTATTCCCAATAATCTGTATTTTTGGAAAAACGTCTTCAGGAAAGACATCTAGGGACTGCAAACTCTATCGTCTCTCTTGAGATTATTGCCTTGCTTTAAAAAGCACGTGCTTTATTTCTGGTCTGAATGTGGCTGGTCTCCACTTTAAGCTCTTGGATCTTTTATCTTTGCTGGGTCAAACAGCACATCAAGTCGCCCCACAATCTCTTTTTTCTCCACCTCTTGAATAACATCTGTGGATATCTTCTGCATCCTCTCCAGTTTTTTAAACATTAAAAAAAAAATATGCATAGCTATGTAAAGCATAAAACTAGAAAATCTATGAAAAAGTAACGAAAGAAGCTGAGTCTTAGATTGTGCAATATGGGGCTGGATTCTACCTTGCAGATGCTGCCTGCCGTTCCAGCAGCTCCACCCCACAAGCACTGCACATTGTGGAAAACCTTTAAACATTCCTGGGAAGCACAACCTCCGGGCCACGTCCTAAGCGGGCAGGAAGAGTTTACCCCAATGAATGAAATACAATGCAGCTTGCAAAGAGCTGCTGCTGCCAAGAGCTTAAATTTTAGAACTTTAGATTACAGACGGCATTTCTGAAGGTTGAACTCTGAATTAACTAGGAATGGAAGATGAAATAAAATATTGTCAGAGAATGCCCTTGTGACTACCCAAACTATGAAACACTTTATTCTATAAATACTGGCATCTTTTCCTGGTCACTTCAAAATGCAAACTTAATCAAAGAGGCTTTGAAGACTGTTCTCCAACTCTGGATGTATGTCTGACTATCTGCAGGTATGAACTTTTGGAGTTTCACTGACTAATCAAGTAACTGGCATTTATCTTCAGCTTCACTCTTCTGGACAATAAATAATAAGCAGTTAATGCCATTTCTGCTGGTTTTTCCTATCAGTTTCTTCTTCACAGTTTTCTGAACTATACAAATAGAATTCGTTTTAAGAGACATTTTTATTTACTTCTAAATCCACTTAAAAAATAAAGACAAATTGCAATATGCTGTCAGTCCTCAGAATTCAGCCCTCTAAAATAACATTCGAAGGTCACTGACGGTAATTCCGCTATTACCCTTCCCCAGTAACAGCCCGTGCCACGGAGCAGACCCCGTGGGCACCGAACACACATGAGCTTTAGAAACTTCTTTTACCGTAGAAGCCTGAGTTCAGCCAATAAAGTTGGGTTCTGTTGGGCTTTCTCAGGGGTGGGTTGAGAGGCTTGTTCGTGTTCCAGCCTGAGACGCTGAATTTCTTGGAGTATCTCTCTGTAGAAATGACAGAGGGAAGATTAAAGAGGAAAAAGGTCAGTCTCTGCACTGCTCTTAAATAGGGCTATAGCCCTTCAAGCACTCTTTCTGTCCATCTTCAGCTTAAATTCAGCAATTTTGTTCATGTGTGACTGGCACAGATTCAAAACTAAGACAGGTAAGTTAGCGCAGTCCCGTGAATTGCTGTCATACACACAGAAAAATTATTACTTAATAAGAAGTGGGAAATCACTTGTATGCCATGCGCTGGCAACGTCTCTCCCAAACCTTTCATGCAGAATGGGCTCAGAGACTGTTCCAAGAGGAAGAAAGTTCCATCTGCAGCATAATCTGCACTGCACGTGCTGTAGGAAGGGCTCTGAGGCGGCAGGGCCAGCACCCGCAGCCGTGCCGGCACCCTCAGCTTCCCACCCCCCTCTCCCAGGGCTCCTGGCGGGTCAGCAGGGGCGAGGAGAGCTCAGAGTGGCAGAGACAAACCCCGGGGCTCACAAAGGGAAGGCGATCAGCCAGCAGCCCAATTAATGCCGCTGCCTTCTGTGGAGCCGGGGGTGAGGGAACGTAGCACTGACGGCCAAGGCCTCACTTATTGAAATGGAAATGAAATCTTTCTGAGAGTGCAGATTATAATCTCTAATTCTCCCCCCCTCCGCTGCTCTTTTTTAAAACTGCTGAGCTGCTCTCCTTGCCAGGTTTCATCCCAGCACTGGCTGAGACGTCCCTTATCTGTGATCTCAGGGAATAATTTCAAATACCTGCAAGGTCTCTTGGTAGCGCACTGAAGCTACAATGGCGCAAGGACCGAGCTGTCCCTGTGCTCTCCAGGAACTGGCGTTCCTCCAAACCAACCTCCAGAAGTAATTTTTCCTGGTGTGCTGAGGGTGCCGTGGCAAGGGGCTGTGCCGGCAGCCAGCCGGGGGGCGAGCCGAGCACGGCTGCGAGGGGAGCCCGTCACGGGGCCCCCCGAGGCTGCGGGGGTACCCACGGGTGCCCGTGCCGTGCAGCGCACGGGGTTTGCAGCTGCTCAACCGTTTGCTTGTTAGAGCAGCACCCTCGTAGCTTCTCTTAGGCAGAAAAACACGAGCTCAAAAGGCAGGTGCTGAAGAAGCAGGTAAGTGCAAATGCAATATTATCATCATCTCTTCTTAACAGTCCCTCTGGAGCAAGAAGAATCTTCTAATCACAGAATGGTTTGGGTGGGAAGGGACCTTATAGCCCCCCCAGTGCACCCCCCTGCCCCGGGCAGGGCCCCCTTCCCCCAGCCCAGGGGGCTCCCAGCCCCGTCCAACCTGGCCTTGAACCCTTCCAGGGAGGGGGCACCCACAGCTGCTCTGGGCACCCTGGGCCAGCGCCTCACCCCCCGCACAGGCAAGGATTTTTGCCTTAGATCCAACCTAAATCCATCCTCTCTCAGTTTATAACCATCCCCCCTCGTCCTATTCCCACACCCCCTGACCCAGAGTCCCTCCCCCCCTCTCCTGTCCCCCCTTTAAGCCCTGGGAGGCCACTCTCAGGGTCCCCCCGGAGCCTTCTCTTCTCCAGGCTGAACCCCCCCAACTCTCTCAGCCCGGCCCCCCAGGGGAGCTGCTCCAGCCCCCCCAGCATCTCCGTGGCCTCCTCTGGCCCCGCTCGAGCAGCTCCGGGTCCTTCTGCTGTTGGGGGCCCCCGAGCTGGCCCCAGCACTGCAGGGGGGGCTCCCCAGAGCGGAGCAGAGGGGGAGAATCCCCTCCCTCACCCTGCTGCCCCCCCCTGCTCTGGCTGCAGCCCGGGGCACGGGTGGGTTCTGGGCTGTGTGTGCACATTGCTGGGTCACGTCCAGAAGAAGGAGACCATCTCCTACCACCCATCTCCTATTTCTTTCAGGCCTACCCAGTTTCTTCAGACTTTTCTGTCTTCCAGCAAAAGGAAAAAAACCCACTCATTCTTCTCAAGCTGAATTTACCCACCCCAGCCTTCCAACCTGCTCACTCCACTACACTGCAGCTCATTTATTCTCCTGCTGCCACCTGAACAGCTTACCCTGCCATGAGAAGGTTGCTGGGTCTGCAGACAGTAAGACAAGATAAAAATGCGGCTCCTAACGCTCAGTGCCAGTTAAGATGATTTTAAGAAGATCAGTGAAGAAGATCAACCTGCTCCCTGGGGAATAAGGGCACTGCAGCTGCATCCGCACTGAGCTAATTGGTTAATGAGGCAGCTACACCTTTCAATAAAAGATCTAGGAAAACAATCTGGTTAATATAATACAAAAGGTTAAAAACAACAAAGCACAAGGACTGAAGTCTTTTCTCAAATGTTGCTCCTAAAACAACACTGATCAAAGCTTGCTTTTTACCTGTTTTTGTTTTCCAGCTCTGCTATCAGCTGTCTTTGTTGTTTATTGGCATCAAAGCTGAAACCCAGGTCTGTTGGTGGGCGAGGCTGGTGGAAGAGGAACAGAGAAAAAATTAGACAAAATATTCATTACCTGTTACCACATATGACACAGTTTGGATCCAGCCCTGTATTTCCTGAATGCCGTGGTACGATACCTACAGCCCAGGCTGCCAAACTGAAAATAGCTGTCCTGAGGTGGACTCTGGGGGCACATCGAGATGTGGTTTTATGGGTGAGCGACTGCTGAAAGGTGACCTGGCTCATTGTCCTTACTGTCCGTCTGAACAATTTTATTTGCCCTTTTTTTTAAAGACCTCCAGAAAAAAACACAGCATGGCTATCTGTTCCTAAAACACCGACAGGCTTCCCTGGGAAAAGATGCAGTTGTATCTTTTCTCATAAAGTCTTCTAGTGAAACATTGACCTTCCCATATGTCAGCTGGTGAAGAAAAGTTAGAATAACTTATAGTTAGAGTGCTGGTACCTATACCACTGCCATCACAACACAGTGCTGACAATGTGGCTCACATTCTCCATTTTCGGGTTACAATGCTCTGGCACTATACAGTTTCATTAATGCTTAGAAATGGTTTGACAGAAACATCTCTACAAAAAGGTCTTCAAGCAGCTTCTGCAGAAAGCTGATACTAACTTCTTGTGGCCCTAATTGTCCCCTTTTTCCAGTTCATCACCTCAGCAGTGACACTGGGGTAACATGGAGTCTTCCAGTGCATTTCACTGTCGTAATTTGATGTTAAATAAATGTGAATCAAGACCCCCTGCCTCACATTACACAGGATTTCCAGCCAGTCCGTCCACAAACACAGCAGAAGCTTGACGTTGCTTGGTGGAGCTGCGACACCCCAAGCCATGCCCCCTGGGATGCTGAAGGCCAGGAACCACCATCCATTGAAATGAGTGAGATCACTCACAGGCGTTAAATTTAAGCACGGTCGCTGCCTCTGAAAAATCTAATTCTTCTCAACCCCTCCAAAGCATCACCCGAAGGGAGATTGCGGAATAAATGCATTTTCCTGGTGAGTCCTGACCTTTGTGAGCCTTGTGTTTGGCCCTGTTCGCCAGCAGCCATCCCCACGACTGAGGAAAGGACTGGGCAATTAAACAAGAATCTGTAGGTTCTGGGAGAACCTTCTGGCAGCTGGGCTGGCTGGTGAAGAAGCCAGTTAAATGGACCAAGAGGAGAGAGAGAAAAACTGCAGGGTCTTGTACTGGTTCAGTGTGGTTTTTCCAGTGGAATCCTAAGGGGCTGCTTAGGACAACTCAGAACTACCCTTCTGGCCATCAGACACGAGAAGCTGCCCACTTGGAGCTGGGGACACATCTTTTATCATGGACAGGTCTCCCCGGCTAAGAAGCGCCTGAGGAACGAGGTGGTATGTAGGGTCTGCTTCTAACACCAGGTCATTACAGAATCACAGAATGGTTGGGGTTGGAAGGGACCTCAGGAGGTCGTCTGCTCAAGCAGGGCCACCCTGAGCTGGCTGCCCAGGACCACGTCCAGATGGCTTCTGAGTATCTCCAAGGTGGGAGACCCTACAACCTCCCCGGGCAACCCGTGCCAGCTCTTGGGTACCCTCACACTAAGAAATGCTTCCTGATGTTCAGAGGGACCCTCCTTCTGGTCCAGCGGGTGCCCGTGGCCTCTGGTCCTGGCACTGGGCACCACTGGAAGAGCCTGGCTCCGTCCCCTTGGCTCCCTCCCGGCAGGTATTTACAGACGTGGATTCAACCCCCCGGAGCCTCCTCTGCTCCAGCCCCAGCTCCCCCCGCCTCTCCCCACAGCAGAGATGCTCCAGTCCCCAGACGAGATTTCCTAATTCTGGTGGTCTTCGGGCCTGATGCAGAGGATGTGTTCGTATTGGCAGTGCAGATGATTAAGCCCATGGTGTCTCTGCCTCCCACCGTGTACTTGAGAAATGGGGTGTCTTCTGACACAACAGAGCACAGTACTCTTTTGCTTTTTTGTTTTCATCTGATCTCAAGATTGCACAGATTTTTACCACAACTTTTTCAGAAGGACCTCAGATTGGGATCCTGGTTTGAGAAGATGCTTTCGCAACCATTTTCAGAAGCTATTCGGGTATAAAACCAGAAGTTGGAGGGAAGAGCTTGGCATCCATCAGTGCTTCTGGAGACAGGGGTGGAGGGTGACAGATCCAGGATGAAGGGGACAGACACCACTGGACTTTCAGTTTTGTTTCGCTGTGGGTGTCTAGAGTCAACTCTGACCGGAGTCAGGCTTGAAATGCAGATAGCACTCCTCTTCTTTGGGCAAACCCCACACGGTCGGTGGGTTTGAATGTGGGAAATGAGCTTTGCTTGAACGACATCCCTACAAGCACATCTTCTGTGCCCTCCCAGGTGATCTGATGGACACTTCAGGAGTCTCCTAATGATGTGGAAATTTCCTGTGTAAAAACTGCTTGCTAAGGAACATCCCAGGCAAGAAGAAACAAAACAGCTTGGGAGTTAAAATGAACAGTGTGGGAAAAAAAAAAAAAAAAATCATCAACCCAGAAACCAAAGTGCAGAAACACCATTCCTTGCTGCAGGGTCACAAAACCCCAACTTCCCCCAGGGAGTGGGAAGGAGCTGACGGCGCAGGGTGGGCTCTGCCCTCACACCCAAGAGCAGGGCTGCTGTGGGCGAGGAGCTGGGATGGACCTGCCGATACAGCCGGGGCAAAACCCCATCTCTCATCTCATCTCATCTCATCTCATCTCATCTCATCTCATCTCATCTCATCTCATCTCATCTCATCTCATCTCATCTCATCTCATCTCATCTCATCTCATCTCATCTCATCTCATCTCAACTCAACTCAACTCAACTCAACTCAACTCATCTCATCATCCTGACATTCGGGGTAGGTGCCCGTTGTAGGCAGCAGCGATGCCACCCCTCTTTCCATCTTGGGGTGACCTGAACAGTCTCGGTGTAGATAACATTGATAGGACCTACTGGTCCTCCAAACCAGTGTGTCACAAAGCCCAGGTCCCACGGTCTCTCCCTGCATCCCGGTACAATCTGCTACAAGGACAAGTGGAGGTGATGTGTTTCATCTGCAGCCTCAGGAGCTTCCTGAGGCTCTGGGGCTCTTGGGGCTCCATCCAAAGCACATGAACCTTTGTTCTGCTGCAAAGTAGGACTGTACCTATAAAAACAGTCTTGTCCTTAATCCATTTCTTCAGAAATCCTGTTCAAAGCCTGAAATCACCCTCACGACCTAAAGTACTTGAGTCCTTAGAAGCAAAGACAACACTGCAGGGAACTTAGAGGACACACATCCCTCATGCTGCTCACTTCCAAACATCACTAGTCAAGGTCTTTTAGAAACTGTACAGTGGCTATTTTATATGACAATTCAATGTTCTATCACTTCCAAGAGCCTATTTAATTTTTTAAAAACTTGGAATCACAGAGTCATTGGGGTTGGAAAGGACCTTCTGAAATGGTCTAATCCAAAACCCCTGCTCAAAGTAGTGAACTGCAGCGGGTGGCTCAGGACGTTGTCCAGCTGAGTTTTGAATACCTCCAGGGAGGAAGGCTCCACAACCTGCTGTACCTGTTCCAGCCTTTGAGCACTTACACCTTAAGAAAGTTTTTTCTTCTGTTTAAATGGAAGTGAGCTACCGCCCATTGCCTCTTGTCCTTTCATGGGGCATCACTGAAGAGAGTCTGGCTCCATCATTTTACTTGCCACAATCTTATATTAACACACAAAAAGACCCCCACAAGCCTTCCGAAGGCTAAACAAGCCCAGAAAAAAAATTCAGGCTGCTGATACTCCCCCGACATCTAAACCTTCCAGGTTCTTAAACTTAAAAGGCACCTCATGCTCTCCCTGAGGGTTTGCATAGGGGGATGCCCACAGTGGTGAAATAAAAAGCACCAGGCAGAGGCACTGGAATTTGATCACCCATATTGTTAGATATTTAGTATAAACTCTGCCTTATTTTTAGCCCAGACTAACTAGCTCTCTCAAGCAAATCCCAGCACGGTTCGGGATTTACCTTAAGCCGAGAACTCTCTGCAGCAGGTGGTTTGTACGCAGCCGCCCTGTCCTGCAGGGTGAGCGTGCTCAATATTAGAGATGTGGGCACTATTGGTTTTTAAGGACTGCTGTCCATAAACCCCGAGTGTCTATTGTACACTCAGCTATAGAGAAATAGTGCTCATCGCTCACCCAATCTCTACCACAACGTGGACTCAGGAGGAGAGGTATCGAAACTCTTGCATACTCAAAAGTGTATCCAAGAGCCACTGAGTCAGCACTGAGCCTGCTGAGAGTACAACAGAGTCTAATTGCTACTGCACTCACCCAGAAAATGTGTGACAGCACTTGTAGCTCTGTCTAACCCTGAATGGGCACTAAGGCACAGCTCCTGTCCCACACTCCCCAGCAAACAGGCACCCGGGGAGGCAGCGGGCTCCAAAGAGGCAGTGGTGGTCAGGAGGCAGCCCTGGGATCCCGGGTTGTGCTCCCTGGGTTAGGTTTTATTAAAAAAAGGTCCGATAGTGGCCTAATAGTAAAAAATATTAACTACCCAGGACGTGGAATTTACAGCCCTGGGGGTAAAGCCCCAAGAGTAGGAAAGAGACGACTGACTGAAGACAACACAGACAGCTGCTGTGAGCAGCCGGGGCAGGAGGAAATCCATCAGGTACTTAAATAAACCTGAGGCAGTGGCAGAGCTCTTGTGTTCCTCTCTGACAGCACCACGCTTACAAGGTGACACTCCAGACGCCAGCAGAAGCTATCCATAGAGCTTACACCTAGAAGGAGCTAACAACTACAGACCAGTCAGCTTAACCTCAGTTCTCGAGGAAAAATCACCACATAAATCCACTTGTAAATACTTAAAGATAGGCTAAGTAATGGCCTGGGCGGAGTTTCTAAGAACAAATCATTCCAAAGCAAACTACTTTCCTTTCGTAGGAAAAAATCAAATCCTATATATAGGAGAGAAAAAAATAACACAATACACTTTCACCTCAGCAATGCTTTTGACATCCTATTGTGG